ATGAAATGAAGGCAGAAATAAAGAAGTTCTTCGAAACCAATGAGAACGAAGACACAACATGCCAGAACCTCTGGGACACATTTAAAGCAGTCTCTAGAGGAAAGTATATAGCAATAAGTGCCCATATGAGGAGAATGGAGAGATCCAAAATTGACACCCTATCATCAAAATTGAAAGAGCTAGAGGAGCAAGATCAAAAAAACTCAAAACCCAGCAGAAGACAAGAAATAACTAAGATCAGAGCTGAACTGAAGGAGATTGAGACACGAAAAACCCTTCAAAAAATCAATAAATCCAAGAGCTGGTTTTTTGAAAAGATCAACAAAATAGACAGACCACTAGCCAGATTGATTAAAAAGAAAAGAGAGAACAACCAAATAGATGCAATAAAAAATGATAAAGGGGAAATCACCACAGATTCCACAGAAATTCAAACCATCATCAGAGAATATTACAAAAAACTCTATGCACATAAACTAGTAAACATGGAAGAAATGGATAAATTCCTGGACTCCTGCGTCCTCCCAAGCCTAAACCAGGAGGAAGCTGAAACTATGAATAGAACAATAACAAGGTCAGAGGTCGAGGCAGCAATTAAGAGCCTACCACACAAAAAAAGCCCAGGTCCAGACGGGTTCACAGCCGAATTCTACCAGACACACAAAGAGGAGCTGGTACCATTCCTTCTAAAACTATTTCAAACAATCCAAAAAGAGGGAATCCTTCCCAAATCATTTTAGGAGACCAACATCATTCTGATACCAAAACCCGGCAGAGACTCAACAAGAAAAGAAAACTTCAGGCCAATATCCATGATGAACATAGATGCAAAAATCTTCAATAAAATGGCAAGCCAAATGCAACAGCAAATCAAAAAACTTATTCACCATGATCAAGTAGGATTCATCCCGGGGATGCAAGGCTGGTTCAACATACGCAAGTCTATCAACGTAATTCACCACATAAACAGAACCAAAACAAAAACCACATGATTATCTCAATTGACGCAGAGAAGGCATTTGACAAAATTCAACAGCCCTTTATGCTAAAAACCCTCAATAAACTCAGTGTCGATGGAACATATCTCAAAGTAATAAAAGCTATTTATGACAAACCAACAGCCAATATCATACTGAATGGGCAAAAACTGGAAGCATTCCCTTTGAAATCTGGCACTAGACAAGGATGCCCTCTTTCACCACTCCTATTCAATATAGTTCTGGAAGTTCTAGCCAGAGCAATCAGGCAAGAAAAAGAAATAAAGGGTATTCAAATAGGAAAGGAGGAAGCCAAATTGTCTCTATTTGCAGACGACATGATAGTATACCTAGAAGACCCCATCACCTCAGCCCAAAAACTCCTGAAACTGATAAGCAACTTCAGCAAAGTCTCAGGATATAAAATCAATGTGCAAAAATCACAAGCATTCGTCTACACCAATAACAGACTTAAAGAAAGCCAAATCAAGAGCGAACTGCCATTCACAATTGCTACAAAAAGAATAAAATACCTTGGAATACAACTCACAAGAAATGTAAGGGACCTCTTCAAGGAGAACTACAAACCGCTGCTCAACGAAATCAGAGAGGACACAAACAGATGGAGAAACATTCCATGTTCATGGTTAGGAAGAATTAACATCGTGAAAATGGCTATACTGCCCAAAGTAATTTACAGAATCAACGCTATCCCCATCAAGCTACCATTGACTTTCTTCACAGAACTGGAAAAAACCACCATGAACTTCATATGGAACCAAAAGAGAGCCCGCATAGCCAAGTCAATTCTAAGCAAAAAGAACACAGCGGGGGGCATCACACTACCGGATTTCAAACTATACTACAAGGCTACAGTAATCAAAACAGCATGGTACTGGTACCAAAACAGAGATATAGACCAATGGAACAAAACAGAGGCACCAGAGGCAACACAACATATCTACAACTATACAATCTTTGATAAACCTGACAAAAACAAGCAAGGGGGAAAGGATTCCCTGTTTAACAAATGGTGTTGGGAAAACTGGCTAGCCATGTGCAGAAAGCAGAAACTGGACCCCTTCCTGACACCTTACACTAAAATTAACTCCAGATGGATTAAAGACTTAAACATAAGACCTGGCACTATAAAAACCCTAGAAGGAAATCTAGGCAAAACTATCCAGGACATAGGAGTAGGCAAGGACTTCATGAACAAAACACCAAAAGCATTGGCAACAAAAGCCAAAATAGACAAATGGGACCTAATGAAACTCCACAGCTTCTGCACGGCAAAAGAAACAGTCACTAGAGTGGATCGGCAACCAACAGAATGGGAAAACATTTTTGCAGTTTACCCATCTGACAAAGGGCTGATATCCAGAATTTACAAAGAACTCAAACAGATTTACAGGAAAAAAACAAACAAGCCCATTCAAAAGTGGGCAAAGGATATGAACAGACACTTTACGAAAGAAGACATATATGAGGCCAACAATCATATGAAAAAATGCTCATCGTCACTGGTCATCAGAGAGATGCAAATCAAAACCACATTGAGATACCATCTCACGCCAGTTAGAATGGCGATCATTAAAAAATCTGGAGACAACAGATGCTGGAGAGGATGTGGAGAAAAAGGAACACTTTTACACTGTTGGTGGGAGTGTAAATTAGTTCAACCATTGTGGAAGACGGTGTGGCGATTCCTCAAGGCCTTAGAAATAGAAATTCCATTTGACCCAGCAATCCCATTACTGGGTATATATCCAAAAGACTATAAATCGTTCTACTATAAGGACACATGTACACGAATGTTCATTGCAGCACTGTTTACAATAGCAAAGACCTGGAATCAACCCAAATGCCCATTGATAATAGACTGGATTGGAAAAATGTGGCACATATACACCATGGAATATTATGCAGCAATCAGAAATGATGAGTTTGTGTCGTTTGTAGGGACATGGATGAATCTGGAGAACGTCATCCTCAGCAAACTGACACAAGAACAGAAAATGAAACACCGCATATTCTCACTCATAGGCGGGTGATGAAAAATGAGAACACATGGACACAGAAAGGGGAGTACTAAACACCGGGGTCTATTGGGGGGAAAAGGGGAGGGCCAGTGGGAGGGGGAGGTGGGGAGGGATAGCCTGGGGAGAAATGCCAAATGTGGGTGAAGGGGAGAAGGAAAGAAAAGCACACTGCCATGTGTGTTCCTACACAACTGTCTTGCATGCTCTGCTCATGTACCCCAAAACCTAAAATCCAATAAAAAATTAAAAAAAAAAAAAAAAGAATATGCAATTGAAATAAAATAATTCAAATTTGGGGTATGTTTGTTTTTGTTTGTGAAATGGAGTCTGTCGCCCAGGCTGGAGTGCAGTGATGCAATCTTGGCTCTCACTGCAGCCTCTACCTCCTGGGTTCAAGCGATTCTCCCACCTCAGCCTCCCAAGCAGCTGGGACTACAGGTGCACACCACAATGCCAGGCTAATTTTTGCATTTTTAGTGGAGACAGTTTCGTCATGTTGATCAGGTTGGTCTCAAACTCTGGGCCTCAAGTAATTTGCCCAACTCAGCCTCCCAAAGTGCTGGGATTACAGGCATAAGCCACCACACACAGCCAAAATATAATTTTTTGGATACTCTTGAAATTTGTATTTTATTTGTCTAATCAGTTTTAAACAGAACAACTTGTTTGTTAAATTTCCATTTTATTTTGCACTGGATTAAAAAACATCATTCATCATTTTTACAGATATTTTTGTGACGCTTTACAATTTATAAAGCACTTTCATATTCTCTTGTTTAATCTTCACAGCAATCCTGTGAGTTATATAGAGCAAAATCAGTATCTGCATTTTATAGATGAGGAAACTGAAGCTCAGAAGCGTAAGGTCACATTCTGCATGGCGCAGGAACTGTGACTTGGTGTCTACTGTATTCCCAGCACTAGAGACAAACCCAGTACATCACAACGCACAGTAAATATTTGTTGAATGGATAGATGGAACTCAAAAGTAGATCTTCTGATTCCAGAATTTCAGATCATAAGACATAAAATAAAATTCGAATCAACCCATAATCAGGTTAAGTGATGCTGCTAAACAAGCCTTTCCTGGCAGCTAGGAATAATCTACAAACATAAGAAGTCGAAAGATGCTCAGCAACGCTCATATGTAAATACAGACCAGTCAAAACAAGGACATGCCATTTTTACCCATCAGATTTAGCAAAGATTAAAAAAAAAAAAAAAGGCCTATTCTGGGCACCAGGGAGGATGTAGGGAACGGACACACACTGGTGTGGCACATGCAAACTCTTGCCACACATTTGGAGAATGTGTCTTTCAATCTTTCAGATGCACATAACCCTTCCCCTAACAAGTTCACCTTTAAAAACTGGTGCTACAGATAGACTCCCATAGGTACTCAAAGACAGATGCATATGCAGGTTATTTGCAGTAATAAACAACCAAAAACCATTTAAATGTTAACGAATAGACCGTTGAGCTATAGTGTAGAATATTGACAGGATGGAAAACTATGCAGCCACTAAAAGGAACAAGTCAAGTCAGTATGTGCTGATATGGAACAATCTCCATGATACATTGATAATTGTGAAAAGCAAGATGTCAATAAGCCAAAGAAGAACCTATACTGACCTGTGATTGTCTATGCTCAGACCTTTAGATTCAGAAGACACTATCAACAATTGTTGATTAGGGGATTCGGGCAGGAGAGACTTTACACGGCGAACCTTTAGATATTGTTTCACTTTATAATTAATTGATAATTCGAGAGGGTGTCTCAAGGTCCATTTCTTGGAGGCTGGAGCGCTCCTAACCCCAGAGCCTGCCTCGGCCTCTGGCTCCCATCCCGCAGCCGCCCCGCCGCCTCTGCGCAGGCGGGGGCCCCACTCACCCTTCCTGGCCGCAGACGGAGCGCGGGCGCCCGGGGGAGCCCCGCCGCCTGCAGCTCCTCAGCAGGATGCCCCGCAGCCGCTGCGCGCCCGGGCGAAGCATGACTAGGCCGAGGCCGAGGCCTAGGGCGCGGGCGCCTGCTCCGAGGCTAGCGGGCAGCCTGAGGCCGCGGGGCCGGCAGGGCGGCGGTCGGACCCTCCCCCGGGCGGGGGGCAGGGGGCGGGCTCCTGGACGGCCGCGCGCCCCGGGATCCAGCGCCAGCAGAACCGCCGCACCATGGCACCTGCCGGACGCCCGGGGGCCAAGAAGGTGAGTGTCCGCCCCTCGATCCTCTCGGAGCCCCTGGCTGCTGGGCTGCGAGCGACTCCGTTCACACCCCGTGTGGACCCCTAGCCAAGCCCTGGAGCCTCGGCAAAACACTTGGACGGGACGGCCCTGAGCCTCGATTTTCCTCAGTCGCGGGTTGGTTAGCGTTTAGGGAGACCTTACTCGGCGTTGCACAGAGAGCTTTGCTCAAGTTATCTCCTCAGCTTCACAATTAATTCCATTTCACAGGTGAGGAAACTGAGGCTCGGTGAGTCGGGCGACCAGCGCAGGGTCCCGGATCCAGCCCCGGGGGGAGCGGGGATCAGAAGTCTAGACTCAGGCCGCGTGCACATTTTCTTCCCTCAACCGACCCACACCTGCAGCTCCCTGGGCTAATGGGCCCCAGAACTTTTCGGACTGTCCCTCGCGTTTTGGCAAAGTCAGCAGCCTGGCCAAGCAGCCTGGCCTTGCCAGTCGCCGGCTGGCCTGAAACCAGTCCCGGGCAAGGAAGCCCCCAAAGCTGCGGCACAGTGTGGAGGGTAGGTGGGATTCGCTAGGACCCCTCCACCTCTTCCCACCTGGTCCCCAGCTCCTGGCCCCGTTCCTGGTCTGGTCACCAGATGTTGGCTTTTGCCCAGCCATTTCTATGTCGGGTATGTGCGGGGGTGGGAGGAAGGGGTGATTAAGCAAACTGAGGAATGACATGAGCTTGGAGGAAGGACATCCCCAGGACCCTTCAAAGCAACCCCCACCCCCGCCAGCCCTGTCATTCAGAAAGGGAGGAGGAAAGGAGGGACAATATATGCGTGGAAATGTACACCACCGAGTTATTTATACTGAAAAGCTAGGAACGACCAATATATTCTACAATAGGGGATTCTAAATAAATTAAGTTTCATCTACTTGAGTTATTAGCAGCCAATTAAATAACTATGAGAACTGGCAACGTGCCTTGGCAATGTTAAGTTGCAAAAGAAAATATATCACAAACAGATTCCAACTGTATACAACATTTATATACACTCTGTAAGGAAGTACACAATAATGGTAATAGTTACACAAGATGTGGAATATTGGTTTAAAACGCGTGTTTTAGGATATTTTTTCAGATTATAAAATGTGAGCATTGAAGGAAATACAGTTTATAAAAAATAAAGAACATTGTGCTGACTTCTTTCTCTCAACTTTCTCTAATGCTGTGTTCATCTTTACAGTTCATTTTTTTAAAGGTTTTTAAAATGCTCTGTTTTTGTTCAATTTCTTTGGGGCCTGTGCTGTTACAACACCAAGATTATCACACACTAATCCATGTGGCTGTGTACCCGGGAGTTAAGGTGTTAATGGGAAGGAACTAATCTCACCTCTCTCCTAAGCTAACAGGTACATTTTTTTTAAATGAGATGAAGTCTCACTCTTTTCCCCCAGGCTGGAGTGCAGTGGTACCATCTTGGCTCACTGAAACCTCCACTTCTGGGTTCAACCGATTCTCCTGCCTCAGCCTCCCGAGTAGCTGGGATTATAGGTACCTGCCACCACGCTCGGCTAATTTTTATATTTTTAGTAGAGATGGAGTTTCACCATGTTGGTCAGGCTAGTCTCGAGCCCCTGACCTCAGGTGATGCACCCACCTCGGTCTCCCAAAGTGCTGGGATTACAGGTATGAACCACTGTGCCCTGCCAACAGGTATATTAAGAATTCATTTAATTGCCACAGACAAGATCTCCAATTAGATCTTTAATCCAAAAGAGCAGTTCTGCTGGCAATTCTAGGAAGAAGGGGAGATATTTTAGACAGATTGGGTTTTTCTGGTCACCTCCTACTACACAGCGAAGTTGATCCCTGAGTATGAAGAGAGGTGCCTTGAAGCTAGGAATCTTAGATCCAGAGGTCTTAGTTAGCGGTATCTGCAAAAAGGGGGCATAAATCCACCCTAGAACTCACTGTCAGATCCAAGGCAGGTTTACTGCCAAACCGAAGGGTTGGATGGAATGAGAATATAAATGTACTGCAACATGAATTTACAGTGTTCTTTATTTTACATGTTCCTGTCTCTATAATTACAGAGCTGACGTTAGATCATACTGGTATAATGGTGGGGAACAACACACACTGGGGCCTATTGGAGGGTGGAGGGTAGAAGGAGGGACAGGATCAGGAAAAATTGCTAATGGATACTAGGCTTAATACCTGGGTGAGGAAATAACCTGTATAACAAACCCCCGTGACGCATGTTTACCTGTGTAACAAACCTGCACATCCTGCACATGTACCCCTGAACTTAAAAGTTAAAAAAAATGTAAAGAAGGGATCATACTGGTATAGTGATAAACTGAGAAAGTTAGAATAGCAGTGAAGGAAGGGCTAAAAGATGCTCTGAATTCAAATCTTGGTAACTTTGTTATTTTGCTAATGGCTACGTAGAAAAATGGCAAATTTAAAATAGTGGACAAACATCCAGATAACAAATGAAAATGTCTTACCTTTACTTGGTATCATGAAGATACAGTCAAAATACATACTACAATTTTCTTAAAACCCACCTAATTATCTGCTACAGAGTAACATTTTTTCTACTTCAAGACAAAAATTCTAGCATATGCAACACATCTGACATTTTCAAAACAGTCCCGTTTGTTTGCTTATTCTTGGCATAGTTCCTTAAGTGTCTACTCATTGTAGTTGTTATATGAGGTGGTAGGGATATAGACCAATAACATATGTCAGCTGTCCCCAAGCCTCTTACAGTCAAACTGAGGTGACAGGTAAGTAACCAGATACTGCTGTACGGGGGAATGCACGAATGCAGGATCTGTGAAGTTAAGCAGGACACAAAGGGGGTGCAATTATAGGTGAGACTGGGTCAGCGAGCCTGTGCTCTGGTAGCAATGGAAGGCAGTTCAGAGTAGGGCTGGAGAGAACTGAAGACCACTTCAATAATCCAGTGCAGTGAAGATGGTGGGGCATTTGAGAAATGTGTAATACACTTGGCATAACCCTGTGACAGATTGGATGTGGGAGGTGAGAGGCTAACCTACAACATCCAAATTATGTGCCAGGGTTTATCCTCAACAGTTGTTTGATTAAATTTGATTCTTTTTTTTTTTTTGAGACAGAGTCGGGCTGCAGTGCAGCAGCACGATCTTGGCTCACTGCTACCTCTGACTTCCAGGTTCAAGATATTCTCCTGCCTCAGGCTTGCAAGTAGCTGGGATTACAGGTGCCTGCCACCACACCGGCTAATTTTTAGTAGAGACAGAGTTTTGCCAAGTTGGCCAGGCTGGTCTCAAACTCCTGACCTCAAGTGATCCACCTGCCACAGCCTCCCAAAGTGCTGGGATTACAGGCGTGAGCAACCGCACCTGGCCTAAATTTGATTCTTAACATGGTGAACCTAATGAAGCATATTGGATTTTCAGGAAAAGAGTCTGTACACACTAACTGTACCTCTGGCTTTCTCTTCTGTATTCTTGTGTAGCATTTATTTGTCACATTCTGCTGTGATTATTTGCTGATCTATTGGCCTTCCCCAAAGTAACCAGACTTTGAACTTATGGAGGGCAGAGACCTTGTTTTATTCTGATGTTTATCCCACTTGCCTGCAACTATACCTGATATATGGAAGGTCTCAATAAATGTTCAAATTTTAAGGCCTTTTTTATATTTCAAAAGTACAAATTGAAAAGAGTGAATTGCATTTTTATAGAGGAAGGAGAAAGAGATGAGAATTGTAGTAAATATTAACACCACTTCTACATTCAGCCAAAATTCAGCTTTAGATATAAAAATACGAAAAAAATAACCAGAGTCAAGAGCTCTCTCTGCCAAAACAGTGTTTATGTTTAACAGAGTTCACACAGCTGGGATCCATTTGCCTGCCCTCCAAGAGCACAGTAAAAAGAAGATGCTGTAGCTATGGTGACCTGGTCTTTAGCCACTAGTTAAATCCCTTCTAATGGACCTTCTTGCACTGCAGAGGAAAGAAAAGTAACCACATTGCCAGACTCCTTTGCAGCTAGGATCTTGATAAGAACTAGGTTCCCCAATCAGATGCATCAGCCTGGGAAGGTAGAAGCATAGCAAGTATGGCCATAGTGCAGCATTCTAGTGTCTTGCCAAGGGCAGCTGAGGTTACCACAGCAGCCTCCTTCTCTCTATATGGCAGCTGGGTACTATATTCCTCAAGCCAGCAGTTTAATAGTGGCTTCTCTTAGTTGTGGCAAAGGGTGCAGCCCCAGCCAATTCAGTCATGTTTTTCTAGGGGTCATTCCTGGAAGCCCAATGCAAAGCCCATTTCTCAATATTAAACTCCTTTCTGTTTAGCCAGACTAGTTCGTACTTCTGCAGCTGAACTGGACATAGAGGATAAATTCAGAATAACCCCCTCCCTAGTCATGCCATTATATGGAGATTGATAAATCGTTCAAGCCCTACTTGGCCTCCCGTGTTTGGTTCCATACTGTTAACAGGACTGTCCTGGGAGGCTCTGTGGGAAGATCCTCACATGTCTGCTTTAATTTCTGCTTGCTTTTATTAGATCTAGGAATGACCCAGGTAAGGACAAAGACTCCTGTAACCAAGATTAAATTAGCTTACCTCTTACTCTTTGTTGCCTTCCTGGCCTTCCAGCCTCCTGGAAAATGACTGAAGAAAATAATGTATCAAGCAACATGGCCAAAATGTGCTCGGCGTTTCTCTGTTCCTTGGTGTCCTAGGAAGCTTGCTCCTGACACCTCGGGTTGGTCACTTTGTATGGGAAGTAAGCAAAGGAGAAATAGCAGATGCCAGACACTAGAACAGAAGCAGTTTCTCTCCAAACTCTGTCCCCCTCCTTCTGTAGGATTAGAGTTGGAACTGGACACATGGGCATTCACTTCCCTTGTGGCAAGGCAGAGCCATATGGCTAAACTCTCATGCAGAAAATGTAAATGTCAATGAGATGAGCCACTTCTAGGTCTGCCATACTTTGTTTCCTCATCGTTCGAGACAGAGTATGAATGTGACTCTGATCAAATTTCCCCCCCATGCTGAAGAGGGCAGTACCCTAGGGCTGAGTTGGCAAATGCTTTCTGTAAAGGGCCAGTAAATATTTTTAGCCTTGGGGGCTATATGGTCTCAGTGGCAACGACTCAACTCTGCTAAAGGGGAAAAGTGGCCATTAGACAATATATCAATCAATGGACAGGGTTTTTACAAAAGACTGTTTTTACAAAAACAGGGGATGTGTCAGGTTTGGTATGTGGGCTGTCACGTGCTGACCCCTGCCATAGGGAATGGCAAAGCGATAAGATGAAAGGACTGTGCACCTCAGTGCACATTCTGTAAAAAAGAGGCCCCCCACAAACAGTGACTTTAAATAAAAGTAGTTTCTTTTTCATCTGTAATAGGAAAGCCACTGTTTGTGGCGACCTCTTCTGTACACAGCTTAGCTTCACCCTACCCACAACACACAGCCCAGTGAGCTGCCTCCGCACCCTGCTTGATGTCTCCCTTGGATTCAGGAACTGAGGGGGTTTATATCGATTTCACAGAACAGATGAGACTAGTTAGAAGGGGCATCTGAGGCTTTTCTCGCTGCTCCATTCGTTGCTTTGTGTCCAGCCATGAGCAGGCCTGAAATGAACTGGCCTATTATCAAAAAAAGGTTGCATCTTCTACTAATGCAGCCTAGAAAAGAGGGATAAGGATTGCTGTGGGGGGCTGGAAGGATGGGTGGTTTGCAGCAGTCAGGGAAGACATCTTTGAAACAATGACGATGCCGTTTGACCAAAGCCCTGAAGGCAGTGAGGGGATGACCCTGAGGGCACCTGGGGGAGATGTGATTTAGACACAGTGAAATGGGAAAAGTTTCCTTATCCCCCTTGCAGGGTATGTGAGGGGGTGTGGCTCACTTCTTCAGTGCCCTGCAGCTTAAACCCCTAGGGGGAGCATGCAGATGGGCAACATCTAGGGGTGAGTGTTTCCAGCTCCCAAAGCCCCAGTGGGCATGTGTTACGGTGCGCTCTTTCAGCTTAGCTGTTCACTGGCAGCTTGTGTTAATCAGCTCAGACCCTCGGCCTTATCGAAAGGACAAAGGGCTTTCTGTATCCCAGGTACTTGCCAGTGTACTGGAGAAAATGGATCACAGGTGAGCTTGGAGAATGAGTGCAAGGTTCTATTGAGTGCTGGAAGTAGCTCTCAGCAGGTAGATCAGACGGATGGGGAGCCAGAAGGGGGATGGAGTGGGAAGGTGGTCTTCCCCTGGAGTCCGGCAGCTCAGCAGCCAGACTGTCCTCTGACCAACCCCTGGCCGAATTCCACGTTGTATATGTCATTCTGCCTCTGCTGTCGATGGCCTGCTGGAGTCTGTCTGTGTTCCTCTGCCGTTGTGTTCCTCTCAACTTCCAGCCACTTGTGTTTGTGTTTGCTAGGGTCTTGAGGTTTTCATAGGCACAGGATGGTGGGCCAGGGTGGTCTTGGAAAATGCAACATTTGGGTGTAAAAACAGGAGTGCCTGTCCTCACCTAGTTCTGTGGGCACAGGCCCAAGGGTGAAGCCCTTGCCAGCAACCCCACCCTTCCCTGGCCCCCTCCTGTTTCAAAAGGAAACTGCACCCCATGGCTAACTGCTCTGAATGGAACCTTTTAAATAAGTTATGAGTAGGCTAAATAGAAAGATGGTAAAACAGGAGGAAAAGAGAGTAGGAATTTAGAAGCCTGTCTGATTTTTTACTTAGCTTTGTGCTCTTGGGCAAGTCAATCATTCTGAGCCTCAGTTTCCTCATTTACACCTGAGAATAAAAACCGTCTGTCCTGCCTCGCAGAGTTGCTGGGAGTTCCAAAAGATAACACACGTGTGAACACACTGCATGATTATGAAGCATTGTGTCCATTACAGTTCTGTTCAGTGGCTGACACAAAGAAAAGGTTTCTTTTTCTCACTTAACAAGAGGTCCAGGGGTGCCAGCCCATGGCTGCTGCAGACACCCAAGGATGACTTAAGAAATCTGCTTCACATGGCCGTCAGATGACAGCTGGACTCCCAGGCTCTATGTGGACGTTCCAGTCAGGAAGGAGGAAAATGGACAATAAGGAAGGGAGTGGGCACCCATGACAGGAAAGCAAAACTTTTCCAGAAATCCTCCACCAACTTCCATGTGTGTCTCCCTGGCCATCCCTGTGTCACAGGGCTGCTCCCAGTGGCAAGGGAGCCTGGGAATTTTTTGAAAGTTGGAGGCATTGTCCCCGACACAAGAAAAGGGGAGAGAATACACACTAGTTAGACAACTAGCAGTGTTGCCACAAACATGTTGAGAAGCCAATATAACTATCATGGAATCAGCACCACAATTGGACTCAGATTAAATGTTATTTAAGAATAAATAGTCTCAGCGCTTTCATTGTACGAAATAGGCACCTGGATTGGCCAAGAAATATAGTATCCTCAGTCTTTCTGAAATATTATTAGAGCACATGTTTTTAACAAAACTACAGCTCTAAGAACATAATACCACCTCACCTAAAATTAGAAACTGCTTTTAGAAAACAAAAAGTAGAGTGGAACTTAGGTACTTTTTTCTCTTCTTTAGGGGATTTTGGAACGCCTTGAGAGTGGGGAAGTTGTGATTGGAGATGGCAGCTTTCTCATTACTCTGGAGAAGAGAGGCTATGTGAAGGCTGGGCTCTGGACTCCAGAGGCAGTGATAGAACATCCAGATGCAGGTTGGTGCCCCCATCCCAAGAGTGTCTACCTGAGTGGTATTTTATTTAAATCTGATGGAGAGAAGATGGAGAAAAAAATAACTGTTTCAAAGGGCTGTTTTGCTTGCTAAAATTGCCAAGATAAGGAGACAATAGCAGTATGCAGGCTGAGCTATATGGAAGAAAACGGCCTCTCTCTTCCTTTCTCTCTCTCTCATACACACACCTACACACATCATACACCCATACATCCACACACCCACACACATACTCCCACCCCCACACACTCACACCCCACCTCCACACCCACACACACCCCACATACACACCCACACATACCGCAAACACACATACACACCTACCCACCCTCATGCACACCCACACTTTCTCTTACACACATGCATTTACATCTTAATGTATAGGCAGTGCTAAAATATATATCTTGGCTGGGCATGGCGGCTCACGCCTATAATCCCAGCACTTTGGGAGGCTAAGGCGGGTAGATCACAAGGTCAGGAGTTCGAGACCAGCCTGGTCAACATGGTGAAACCCCGTCTCTACTAAAATTACAAAAAAATTAGCTGGGCACGGTAGTGCGTGCCTGTAATCCCAGCTGCTTGGGAGGCTGAGGCAGGAGAATTGCCTGAACCCAGGAGGCGGAGGTTGCGGTGAGCCAAGATTGCGCCATTGCACTCCAGCCTGGGTAACAAGAGAGAAACTCCGTCTCAAAAAAAAATACAAAAATTAGCTGGGTGTGATGGCAGGTGCCTGTAGTCCTAGCTATTCAGGAGGCTGAGGCAGGAGAATCGTTTGAACACGAGAGGCAGAGGTTGTAGTGAACCAAGTCACGCCACTGCACTTCAGCCTGAGCAACAGGGTGAGACTCCGCCTCAAAAATAAAAATGAAATATACATCTTAATATTTGTTCCATGAATATTTGCCTTGTAGATATTCAGAGTTTCCTTAAAACAGCAAAACTCTTCCTGCTTCCGATTCACGCTGACAGTGTGCTGCTGAAGTGTGACAGTGTGTACAGTGAGGGTGATTAAAGGTAGTCACAGTGTAACAGAGCACAGACAGCCAGGTTCCGGGGATGGGAGGGCAAGAAAATCAACAGAGCTTTATATCATCTTGGAAAAAAAGAAAGAGCTAGAGGTGGTAACTCTGATGAGGATTAGTTACCTGAAATTAGAACTTGAATTCTCTTCTGACTCTTTCTTTGTGTTTGTTCCCCTAAATTAAAGCGGGAAAATAAAGCCAAAGAATGAAATGAGTGAAACAAAACACTAGCTGAGACTAGAATTTTTGATTTGCTCTGACTTTATGTATATATGCACGGAGTATCAGATAAACCTAGGGTCCTATCTTGGTTCTTCCACTGACCAGCTGTGTGACCTTGGACAAGTCACTTGACCTCCCCAAGGATCCGTATCTTCATCCGTTTCATGAGGTCACAACATGGGCTAGGTGTGAGAACTCAGGAGTTAACCCACGTGAGGTGCCCTACGTATTGTCCGTACGATGGCCATTATGACTGCTGCATCGGACACCCAGAATTCTGTGGTAGAGCGGGACCAAGTTTTGTCCCTTTGGTGTTTAACAGGATGTTTTCATCTGGCCCGAGAAGAAATTGTTCTTAATGTTAGAAGGTCATTTTGCTAAACTGGGGAAAAAGTGCTGGAATAGTAAGAGTAAGGATACGGGAGGAGTGGTGACGGTGGTGAAGGAGAGGAAGGAGCGACTTTCTGATAGCCAGGAAAAGCTTCCGGACTGCTTTCTGATGTCCCCAGCTGCTTGCGGCTGACTCGGTTTGATACCGGTGCCACCCACATACATTCTGCTTTCTATGAGAAGCTCCTCATTCTACTTTGAGGGCTGCCAATGCTGACTGTAGTAGACCAGCTATGTCCTTCACAACACAGGTATAGAAGAAACTTCTCTAGACCAAGAGACCAAGGGACAATTGGCCAATCAGGCCTTAATCTCCGCAGGTGATGGCACCAAGCCATTGAGGCCCATCAGCAAAACAATACAAGGCTACTCTAAACAGTATGTCCTGCCTATGCATTCTACTGACCTTAGTCTCTAACTTTTTATCACAACTAGGTTTCAACTGAGGTATGATTGAAAGAGATGGGAGTCAGTGAGCTACTGCTGCTTTTAAAAATGATAGCTTCTGTAATATTTCTTTTTTTATTTATTTCAATGTTGAAAACCCAACTACTTTGTAGTTCGTCAACTTCACATGGAATTCTTGAGAGCAGGATCAAATGTCATGCAGACTTTCACCTTTTCTGCCAGTGAGGACAATATGGAAAGCAAGGTAAACGGCAATGGTTGGGTGCAGAGAAGGGAGGCATCTATTAAAAAAAAAACCTCTTTACGGAAAGCTATAGAATTCATGTGTTACTATACTTTATTACAAAGTCCATATAAATATCTATGGATTAGTTTTCATATAAAGATATATAGTAAATAAACCAGGTACGGTGGCTTATACCTGTAATCCCAGCACTTTGGGAAGCTGATGTGGGCAGATCACTTGAGCCAAGGAGTTCCAGATCAGCCTGCACAACATGGCGAAACCCTGTCTTTACTAAAAATGCAAAAATTAGCCAGGTGTGGTGGTGGGCACCTGTAATCCCAGCTACTCAGGAGGCTGAGGCATGAGAATGACTTGAACCTGGGAGGTGGAGGTTGCAGTGAGCTGAGATCACACCACTGCACTCCAGCCTGGGTGATAGAGTGAAACTCCATTTCAAAAAAAAAAAAAAAAAAAAAAGATAATACATACTAAATAAATTAGCTTTATCTCCCCATTTAGGTAGAGGAGGGGTCAGGACGAGCAGTAAAATAAACCATTGGAAGGGCATGGCGGTCTTCCTGCTATTTTTTAGAGAGAAAGCATTTCATAGATGCTCTTTTCACCTTCTCATTTCACATTTTTCTCTTCTGGAGACAGGGAGGTGCTAAAAAACACAACACTGGCATAGAAATGAGAAAAACTGGGTTTGATATTCAGCATTGCCCCTATTGGCTGTGTGGGTTTGTGTAAGACACATACCTGCATTGAGCATTGGTTTTCTCTCTGCAAAATGGAGATAACAGTAGTGCTTAAGCCCATAGACCTGTTGAGAACAGTAAGATCAAGGATATGGAATTATTGTGAAATATTCTGCAAATGTAAAACGTTAATACGTATAAATGTTAATGCCCGTTAATTCATTCAGCTGACCAACACATACTGAGTATCTGTTATAGTTCATTCTCTATGTTAGAGTCAAAGATGAGACAAAGGCATAGACCCCATCTGGAGGCTCAAGGTCAAGCATGGGAGGCAAACAAATAGTTATTAAAATCCAATGTGGTAAGTACGATAATGGAAATAAAAGGTTATGGTAACAGAGGATATTGTACCCAACTCTGCTGGTCTTCTTCGCTTGCATTGAAACCACTGGTTTATACTCATCTCACTTGTTTATTGTTCCTTTGGTTATCTCATATATTTTACCCTCAAACTGCTAGCCTTGTCATCTGAACTCTCGCTCTCTAACCTCAGTGGGAAGATGTAAATGCTGCTGCCTGTGACCTCGCCAGGGAAGTGGCTGGCAAAGGTGATGCTTTGGTAGCAGGGGGGATCTGCCAGACATCAGTATACAGATACCACAAGGATGAAGCTAGAATTAAAAAACTTTTTCGACTACAGCTACAGGTTTTTGTGCAGAAAAATGTGGACTTCTTGATTGCAGAGGTAAGCCTAGTATTAGAGGAAAAGGATTAAACCTATTTTGACAAGCAAAACTGCATCGTCTTCACATTTCATTAGGGTATTGGACTGCCTTATGCCCTCATTTCTTCCATATGGATGATCAAAGGATTATTTAAATGCATGGTAGTCAAGGTCAACATTCCCTCATTTGTATGCTATGTTCTTTTGGAGCCAAAGGACAGACCCAAGAGAGGCCTGACCATAGCCTTTGATCTTCTAAGGTCTGGGTAGCTGCAGAAGCTGACTTGGGGGACTCTATAACCTAGAGGGAAGCATAGGGGACAGTGCCTCAGGGAGCACCCTCTCCTGAAGGAGAAGGCAATCAGAAGGGCACAGCATGTATGGGCTGGGGACTGAGAAAGAAGAAGGTGGTGGCTGTCCAGGGTCATCTAGGCCCCACCAATAATGCTCAGCACCCAATAGTTTCCATAGCCTCCTCCATCCATGTCTTGCTCTTCCTACCTCTCTACTTTCACTCAAGCTATGACACGTGAGTTATATTTTGAAGATAGAATCAGTAAGAATTGGTCATTGATTGGACATGAAGGCCCAGAGCATTCTCTTCCCTCCACTTCCAAAAAGAAAGCCCTCATTCCCCATTTCCCAACATAACTGCTACTGCCTAGGGTCAAGTCCTCAACCCACATTTTTACTCCAAACGAGAGAATAGCCCCTGGTAAGGCATGGTGGCTCACATCTGTAATCCCAGCACTTTGGGAGGCCAAAGCAGGCAGATTGCACAAGGTCAGGAATTTGAGACCAGACTAGCCAACATGGTGAACCCCATCTCTATTGAAAATACAAAAATTAGCTGGGCATGGTGGCAGGTACATGTAGTCCCAGCTACTCAGGAGGCTGAGGCAGGAGAATGGCTTGAAGCTGGGAGGCGAAGGTTGCTGTGAGCCAAGATTTCATGCCACTGCACTCCAGCCTGGCAACAGAGCAAGACTCCATCTCAAAAAAGAGAGAGAGAGAGAAAAAATAGCCCCACCATTATTCCCCCCAGTCACCGCACTGGACTCTACTGAAAACCCTGCCTCATCCACCTGCCCATGCCTGGCCAACCCCGCTGGGAACAGTCATCTGCAGGACAAGCACAAACTTTGCCCTCTGTGCTTTCCAGATGGATGATGACACACTCTGTTTAAGAACTCATCTTTTGATTATCTCTGTCATTCCTCACACTGCTTCTGCAGAATTTGTTTCTAACTCAAGAGGGAAGAAACGGGAAGATTTCTGGCTTTTCTTTAGTTGCCTTAAGGTCAGCTTTTCAGCTGTGGCACTGAAGGGGGTTCCTGGAAGCACCCCATCAAATGACATGGGTTTACCAGACAAGGTGTCCTGTCTGAAGAAAAAAACAGAATAGCTATCTCTCCCATGAGGCTCCTCGGTCTTCTCATCTGGGGAAATATTTCCCTTCCTACTTTATGGAGCGCTTATGAATATCTAACTAGAAGTGAATATAAAAGCTCTTTGAAGTATAACACATGATAAACTACCCATAGTTTCAGAGATTACTCCAGTTTTATAAGAGATGAATCTGAAATTTATTAGCAAAACTTTTCTTCCTTCAAAATTATTATTTTAAATACTCGATTACTTTGAAAACCTCTGGCTGTGTTTTTCTCTTTTATACTAATAGTCATCATCTCACTGAATCAATGATCCCTGACCAAAAAACTATATATTGTCATAGGAATGAAAATATTTACTCAGAAAAACATTCTTTATTCAGTCTGATAGACACACATTTCTTAGCAAGTTTTACCATATGTATGTTTATATTTTATTTGGTAATTTGTATAATTGTTTTGCTATATTTACCATTACCATTCAAAATCTGCTTTGTGTCTGGACCAATAGAAAAAAATGACATTTATCTTAGTATTTTGAGTATGTTGAAGAAGCTGTGTGGGCTGTGGAAGTCTTAAAAGAATCTGATAGACCCGTGGCAGTTACCATGTGCATAGGCCCAGAGGGAGACATGCATGACTTAACACCCGGAGAATGTGCCGTGAGGCTGGTGAAGGCAGGTAATTTGGACCCATGCAGGGATACACAGCTCAGTTGCTGTTTATGAAATTTAACAAAGTCTGATATTGTGAGAGCAGTTTGGAAATAAAAGAATTAACAGCAATCAGTTTCCTTATCTGTAAATTGTGGGAGGGGGAGGGGGATAGTTAATCTCTAAGGTAACTTCCAACTGTTAAAAAAAAAAGAAGAAGAAACAAATCAATAAGTAATAAAATGTAACTCTTATTTCTTTGCATAGGGGCTTCCATCATTGGCGTGAACTGCCGCTTTGGGCCTGAGACCAGCTTGAAGACGATGAAGCTCATGAAGGAGGGTCTTGAACGGGCAGGACTGAAAGCATACCTCATGGTGCAACCCCTGGTGTTCCACACACCCGACTGTGGCAAAGAGGGGTTTGTGGATCTCCCAGAATATCCCTTTGGTAAGCTAAGTAGAGGTCCTCTCATAGTGGAGGTATTTCTTTGTGACAAAATCCAAATGGCTATAATAAACCATGGCCCAATTCTACAATAAGACTGCATAACTGAAAATGAGCTATCGGAAGAATGCATCATCTAAAATTTACAGTTTTGTTAACTGAAAAAACTGCTCATTCATTAGAGCATCCGTTATTCGAAAATGAGAACAGTAACAAAAATGCTGTAACTATTGTGATACAGGACTGGAACCCAGAGTTGCCACCAGATGGGATATTCAAAAATATGCCAGAGAGGCCTACAACCTGGGGGTCAGGTACATTGGCGGCTGCTGCGGATTTGAGCCCTACCACGTCAGGGCAATTGCAGAGGAGCTGGCCCCAGAAAGGGGCTTTTTGCCACCGGCATCAGAAAAACATGGCAGCTGGGGAAGTGGTTTAGACATGCATACCAAACCCTGGGTTAGAGCAAGGTAAGAATTTTTACATTAACATTCTTATTATTTTCCTTTAATCTCGTTTTATTTATTGTTGTAAATTTATGCATGCACATGGCAAAATGTGTAGAAACATATAAAGTGAAAAGTAAAAATGATCCCCCTCCTGACACCAGTCCCATACCCTAAATCGGCTTTAGTCCATTCCGGCTGTTAGAATACCATGAACTTGGTGGCTTAGACACAACAGACATTTCTGTCTCAGTTCTGGAGGCTGTAAAGTCCAAGATCAAGCTGTCAGCAGATTCAGTGTCTGGGGAAGGCCTTATAGATGGTGAAGGCCATCAGTAAGGAAGCAAGCATTCCTTATGGACCATGTCTTCTTGCTGTGTCCTCCCTTGGTAGATGGGCCATGGCAGCTCCCTGGAGGCTGTTTTCTAAGGGCACTTGTCCATTAGAAAATGGCTCCACCTCCTAATCACCACATTGGTGACTAGGTTTCAACTTATGCCTTGTGGGGGACACAGACAATCAGACCATGGCACAAAGGAAACCTGCTTGTCATTCGTGTTTAAGATCTTGTACCTGTATTTCTTTTGTCATCAGTTTGAAGTGGTAATTATTTTAACCCCTTATGAACGCTGAGGGATTGAAATCACATAGTCTTCCCCTTTCCCCCATTCTCTTTTCCAATTTTGATTTGTTACACTTTTATTTCTTCTTTTGGTTATCTTTTTAGGTTAAAATTATATATTCAACCACCTGTTTCTTAGTGCATCAATATATGGCAGGAATCTCTTGACTCCTCTCTCTGTAAAATAAGAATAGATTCCCTTCTGCTTCTTTCCACCTATCCTCTTTCATCCAACCCTTGGCGTCTTTAAGTTTGACTATACTATCATCAACGTTTATAACTATTTTATTATATTCTGTAGTTATAATTGTCTTTCAAGCTTTCTCTGTAGGTTCGTCCTAAAAATATAAAGTCAGTGGATAACATTTACAATATTTTTATAATTGCTATATTAAACAAGCAGGACTCATGAAACATAATTAGAACTCACTTTTATTTTTGTCTCCTTCTATCCCTTTAAACCTACTCAATGGGTGAATTCCTTCTTTTGTTCCTATTTGAAAACACGGACACAATCTAGAACTTCTCTGGGTGCTCTTAGGCAATGGAAAGTTCCATGATTACTTTTCTTCAGAGATAGTACAGTAATCAAACATGTTTTAGGCCAGGCTCACATCTGTAATCCCACCACTTTGGGAGGCCGAGGTGAGTGGATGACCTAAGGTCAGGAGTTCGAGATCAGCCTAGCCAATATGGCAAAACTGGGTCTCTACTAAAAATACAAAGATTGGTGGCCAAGCGCGGTGGCTCACGCCTGTAATCCCAGCACTTTGGGAGGCTGAGGCACGTGGATCACGAGGTCAAGAGATCGAGACCATCCTGGTCAACATGGTGAAACCCGTCTTTACTAAAAATACAAAAAAATTAGCTGGGCATGGTGGCGTGTGCCTGTAATCCCAGCTACTCAGGAGGCTGAGGCAGGAGAATTGCCTGAACCCAGGAGGCAGAGGTTATGGTGAGCTAAGATCGCGCCATTGCACTCCAGCCTGGGTAACAAGAGCGAAACTCTGTCTCAAAAAAAAAAAAAAAAAAAAAAAACAAAGATTAGCCTGGTGTGGTGGCAGGAGCCTATAATTCCAGCTACTCAGGAGGCTGAGGCAGGAGAATTGCTTGAATCCAGAGGGCAGAGGTTGCAGTGAGCCAAGATTGCGCCACTTTACTCCAGCCTGGGAGATAGAGCAAAACTCTGTCTCAAAACAAAACAAACAAACAAATTAAAAACCGTAAAATCAAAAAATATAAAAGTGTTCAGGTTCATGTCACATCAAAACTCAGAGCTTCTTTTAAACATGAATCTTCTCCCTTTGTCCAGCAACAGCCTTCCACAGGCAGGAAACCAGGAGAGGCCAGCGTGCAGCTTCTCTCTTTCTCAATCTTATGCTCCCTTCCCATCTTGGCTTCTAGCCTCCTCAGATTCAAAGTAAGAGGAGAGAGGATGGAGGAAGGAGTGAGGCTGTTGTTGCTTGCCGGGCACCCTGATAGGAAGCCAGCATCCTCTGAGCCTGGAAGATCTCTGTGAGCACACTCATGGGTCTTCAGAGGCTTCCACTGAAAACTTTTATCTGTACTTCCCATGCCACAGGCATTTTTCTCGGACTGTGACTTCCGCCTCAGGCAGTGGCTTTCTCAACCAGGTCATTCCAGATATACTCTGATTTGGGGATCCCATTGTGCTTCCTGGTGATTCTCTTGGGCCAGATTTTAGATAACTCAGTCTGGCTCTCTCGCTTTCCTAAGGCTCAAAACACCTTTCACCCTTCCTATAGAGAGGTGGTATGAAACCTAACGATTGTTGAAATGTGAGAAAGGTCCCTGGCATTAATGGATATGAACACAGTTGAAACAAAAGTTCTGCTTTAGCCTGATTATCGACCAAGCTTTGACTTTGTGTGTATGTGCTTATATACACACACATTCAATATATGCATATGACATATTGAACTTACAAATAAGATTTTTGATTAATTAATTATGTATGTTTTAAAACACAGGGCTCGAAGAGAGTATTGGGAGAATCTGCTGCCAGCTTCAGGCAGACCTTTCTGTCCTTCGCTGTCAAAGCCAGATGACTAAGGAGTAGTGAAAGAAAATCCTGAAATGATAGAACAGAGAAAGTTGCCCTCAAGCCCAACCTGGAACCCTTCCTCACCATGATGAGGGTAACCTCACCATGTCCTGCTGTCTCCAGCTGCTGAGGTGCTGCAGTCCCTTCCCTTCAAGTCCACAAGTGCATGCATATTTAGCTTCTGCCGTGGTTAAGCACGGCCAGCCTCAATGTGATTACTTTCAAAGATGATTTTTACTTGAACATAAAAGGTCCGGCTGGGCTAGGTGGCTCACACCTGTAACCCCAGCACTTTGGGAGGCTGAAGCGGGCCGGTCACCTGAGGTCAGGAGTTCAAGACTAGCCTGGCCAACATAGTGAAACTCTGTCTCTACAAAAATACAAAAGTTAGGTGGGAATGAGGGTGGGTGCCTGTAATCCCAGCTACTTGGGAGGCTGAAGCAGGAAAATTGCTTCAACTGAGGAGGCGGAGGTTGTAGTGAGCCAAGATGGCGCCATTGCACTCCAGCCTTGGCAACAAGAGCAAAACTCCATCTCAAAAAAAAAAAAGAAAGAAAAAAAAAAGAAATATTGGGTCCTAGAATTTTTAAAATGTGTCTTCATAATCACAGGTAGCTAGGTTATAAACTATTTAAAGGCAAGATCATGTGATAAGCTTCTTATAATTCTCCTTAGCATTGTGTTAGGTATACTAATAGGTGCACAGTGAAATACTTATTGTTGATTGTTTAAAAATAATTCAAAATAAACTGTTTTAGAAAACCTTTTCAAAAGTCAGTGTTCAGGCCAGTTGCAGGGACTCACACCTGTCATCCCAGCACTTTGGGAAGCTGGGGTTAGACAGATCACTTGAGGTCAAGAGTTCAACCAGCCTGGCCAACATGGCAAAACCCCGTCTCTACTAAATAAAATACAAAAATTATCCAGGCATAATGACACATGCCTGTAATCCCAGCTACTTGGAGACTGAGGCATGAGAATTGCTTGAACCTGGGAGGCAGAGGTTGCAGTGAGCTGAGATTGCCCCACTGTATGCCAGCCTGGGAGATGAAGTTCAAATCTATTTTGGTCTAATATTTTCTTATGTTTGTGTTATTTCATGGGCTTGCCAGTTTCTCTTTTACAACAATTTATCAATTTGTGGCAATAAAATTAAAAGTTATTTACCTTTTATAGTGTTTGAATGTCAAAAATGCCATGAACATTCTTTGGAATAATACTAGCAAATATTTATTACTCACTATGTCCGAGGCTTTGTTCTAAATGTACAAATACCCGCCATCCAGGGATTCAAAATTAGATAGTGTTTAACACAGTAGTTCACAGGTAAGGAAACTGAAGTCTAATGAGGCTAGGCAACTTGCCTGAGGTCAGACAATTAGCAAATGTGAAATGAGTACATTTTGATTTGAACCCATGGGGCTGGCTCTGGAATCCATGTCCTTAGCTACTGTATTGCACTACATCTGTCATGTATACAGCTGCTACTTATTGTCAAAAATCTATCCAGATTTTTCTGTCACTAGGTCCAAAGTATTTTTATCAACATTCCTTATTATGAATTAACTCTTCAAACCTGCCATGACTGTTTCTGTAATATTGACAACCTGGAATTTATTTGAGATAGCCACTTTACCTATAATACACAACCCCACCCTACTGGAAATTAGAATAACTTACCATCATCTCAAGGCCTTTGGCATCCTTAAGGGTGACTAATCCAAGCCACCAATTAAATACCTGACTATCCTTGCCAGCGTCTTCACCAGGACCATCAAATCTCTGTTTGGAACCCTTAAATAGTAACTCACTACCCCTCAATATCACTTACTCCTTTTTAAGAAACACTTCATTCTTGGAAAGTTATTTCATATATTAAAGAGAAATCTATTTATCAATGACCTTCACCTGTAGACTTTGAGCACTCATAAAGCAAATTTATAATTTCTTCCATATATCTCTCCGAAACTTTAAAGATAGCTGTATGGCTTTCCTGTACTTACTTGTCCTCATTTCCTGCAACCAAAAGGCATAGGCTAAAATGTGCTTTGTCAAATACTACCTGTGTGACATTAGACAGCTACTTAAGCTTTCTGTCTTAATTTCCTCATCTGTAAAATGAGGATAAAATAGAACCATTTTCAGTAGGGTGCTCTGAGGAGTCAATGAGATAAGTTAGTTAGAAAGTGCATGTTGTATAGTTGGCATTCATTGCACATTATATAGTATAATTATGCTGACTTGGTTTCCAATCCCCTAATCTTCATGGTGACTCTCTTCTGGGAACACTCTGGTATCAAAGACTCTGCTTATTGTTAGTATCTGGTCCCAAACACCACATTCCAGGAGAGAACTGTTTACATAATACCTCCTGCTTGCTTTATAGATTTTGTGGAGAGGGCAGTTCAGGACATGAGAATATCAAGAGTGAAGAAGGTACATCAAGAGGGAGAGCTCTCTCCATGCTGAATCCCTTCCTTGGGTCTGCACCAGCACAAACAAAGGCTTTTATCTACTTACTATAAAGTTCAGGAGTGCTAAACTGTATAGGAGTTCGAGATCAGCCTAGGTAACATGGCAAAATTCCATCTCTATGAAAAATGCAAAAATTAGCTGGGCATGGTGGTGTGCATGACTATAGTCTCACCTACTGAGGAGGCTGAGGTGGGAGGGTCACTTGAGCCCAGGAGGTCAAAGCTGCAATGAGCTGTGATCACACCACTGCACTCCAGCCTGGGTGATGGAGCAAGACCTAGTCAAGAAAGAAAAAGAAGGAATAAAGACAGGAAAGAAGGAGGGAAGGAAGGAAGAAAGGAAGGAAGGAAGGAAGGAAGGAGGAAAGGAAGGAAAGGAGACACAGTGGGAGGGAGGAAGGAGAGAGGAAGGAAGGAAGGAAGGAAAGAAGGAAGGGAAGGAGGGAGGGAAAGAGGGAGTGAGGGAAGAAGGGGAGAAGAAGGAAGGAAAGAAGAAAGGAAGGAAAGAAGGAAGGAAGGAAGGGGATATATAAAAACATTAAATGCATGAACACTCACACAAAAATACTCTAAACAAAGGCAAATAGGAAAAGTGTGTAACAGGGGTCAGCAACCACTCTTCCAGTAAATGGGTCTTGAGCTGCTTTCGTTCAAACCTTCCCCACCCATGCACATGCTGTAAGGGGGGCTCACCTATGTGATTGGCATTCAGAACCCCCCTCCACCCCATTTTCTTGGGCTTAAGGGTGTTATGAGAAGGCAGTGTACCCAGCAGGGACCAGGCAAAGCCTTGGGGTCAGCACCAGCATCATCACCATCAGCCGTTTTGATGATCACTATTCCAGTGTAGGCTATGAGGCTGTGGATCAGGTGCCCCAGGAAGCACCATGCACCTCGTGGAGATGATGTGAGGGCCAGGTCGTTGAATCTTCAGGTATTGACACAGAGCTCAGACAGCTTCTGAGCATTCACAAGGTATCTCGTAACATGGTACCTGTCAGCCCCACTTGATTCTTCCATTCCCAAGGAGCGGGTCCTCTCTCTTGTTGGGCGACTTCTAGGGATGGACTGTCAGCTCCTGTGCCCCACACATGCACTTTGTACTGCCTCCTCCCCACCTCCCTCAATGCCCACAACTATTTAAGGGTTTCAGAAAAATCTTTTCTTCTTCATCTGTTATTATAAAAGGACATCACAGCAAAAGTAATAGGAAAATGAAATCCACTTTTCTCAATGGCATCCTTATTAGAGGTGGAGAAATATTTGCTTTATATCTTTCCAGTGCTGGGAAAAAAGGGTGGGGGGACAGAATAACACATTTACAGATTGAAGCAATAGGAATGCTAACATCTGCCATACATATTTGTATACATTTGATAAACTAAGGGATACTTTCTTTAATCTATAAATTAGGAAATAATTACCTTAATCCATTAAATATAGAAAAAGATAAGAAAACACATTCAATATTAGGTAAATGCACAGCAAAGTGACGAGATACCTTCTCTCATCTATCATCAGCTAAGATCAAAAAGTGGATAATATCTTATGTCATTGAGTGTGCAGGGGAAACGACTTTCTCATAGGTATGCTTTTTGTAGAAGTGTAACCTGGTACAAACTATTTGGAAAGCAATTTATCCATATTTACAAAATTTAAAATTCACATGCCCTTGGATGAGCAGTTTTACTTCTAGGAATATAGCCAGCTATTATGTTTGTATATATGCAAATGTGCATGTCTGGAAACCACCTAAATATTCATCAATGACATATTTGTGAGTGAATAATGGAACATCTACGGGGTATTAAAACATGGTGTCATTACAAAGAATACATTAGATCAATATGGGCTAAGATGGAAGGATCGCCTCCATATATTGTTAAATGAAAGTATGCTCCCATTGTGTATACATAGAATATTTCAGGAAGGAATATTTCCCTCCTAGAAGAGAAGGACTGATGATTGAAAGTGTGGTGTAAGAGGAAGACTTCCTTTTCTCTGATACCCTTCTTTAGTGTCTAAATTTGTTAATATGGTTTGGGTACTACTTTTTCTACAAAATAAATTAGTTTAAAAATGTATGTCAAGATTTCTGATTGCAAGGGGAAAAATCAGATAACGTGAGTTTCCTGTTGTGATACAGAATGGGAAATGCTACATCATGGATGACGTATACCAGCCAAAAGTGCCTGGGGGAATCTAATCAAGCCTTTGGATTTCACCTCCAATTCAGTGAAATCAAGGGATATAGGAACAAAGTAAAAACCACAATCAAGTGAATTCTGTATTCTACTGGGCTGGTCTTTTCCACAGGTTAGCATGTTGGGGCTGCTCATCTTTATGTGACAAAGCAATATAATGCATGGTCCTGGCTGGGACAAACTAGCTATAAAAGGTGTTTTGTGAATAATTGGGGAAATTCGATTAAGGAATCAGGTTAATTTTGACAATGGAGGAAAATGTTCTTAATTTTTGGAAAAATACAATTTTTTAAAATGCATTCTAAATGTTACTATTTATAATTTACTTTAAATCTTTTAGCATATAAAAAGGAGGCATTTTTAAATGGCAAGATTTCTACAGGCTTTGATTTGGTAGGAAGAAATTAGGAAGAGGGTAATTGTCTGTAAAAAAACAAAAAATGACCAGTGAAACTAAGAAAAACTGGCTTGAACAAGCTCTTTCCAGTTCTACAGCAGATGTTTGCTGTACTAGAGTTATCAAGAATAGCAGATGGCCCTCTGATAAACCTGCTGTGCATAGATTCAGCAATGTAGACCCAAACAGCTGGCATGAAAACTACCTGAAAGGGATCGAAGAGATTCGTTGAAACTAGGGGTGAAGGTCAGCTGGAAAAACAATTCCTGCTTTGCAATGATCACAGCCATGATTTGACACCTTGTGCAAAATTGTAAGCAAAGTTAAGCAACTCACTTTGGCTGTACAGTCAGCTGCCTTGAAGGTGAGCCCATATTTTGTTTAATCAGTAATGAAAATGCTGAAAAGAGTTGCAGAAGGGTGCAATTTTGCCTGACATCAGGGCTGTTTGATGAAAGGGTTTTCAGAAAAGTAGATGGGGCATGCTAGCAGGGCTATTGCTGGCACTCTGGCAGTCACATTTCATCTATAACCTCCATTATTTATTTGGAGCAGAGAGGTGGCAAGAGGAAAGAAAGGGAAATAAAAGTTGTATTTTCCATGACATAGGTGCAGATGAGCTGGCCCTTCACAATAGTGAAGGTGGAGAAGTGGTGGTGACTATTCACCTTGAGGAGTCTGTGCTTTCATATCTAATCATGTTTACCCGTTCTTTTGCTTATTCACTCATTCAATCACTCATTAATTCATTCACTATTCAAATAACATTTATTTAGTGCTTGACTATGGTAGTCACTCTTACATGTTCCATAGTACCCTATATTTATCATGAATAAGTTCAATGTGGTTTTTGCTCATTTGGTTTTGTTTTTCCTTTTGTTTTGGGTTTTTTGTTTGTTTTTGTTTTGAGGCAGAGTCTCACTCTGTCACCCAGGCTGGAGTGCAGTGGCACGATCTCAGCTCACTGCAGTCTTTGCCTCCCAGGTTCAAGCAATTCTCCTGCCTCAGCCTCCTGAGTAGCTGGGATTACAGGTACCCACCACCACACCCAGCTAATTTTTGTGTTTTTAGTAGAGATGGGTTTCACCATGTTAGCCAGGCTGGTCTTGAACTCCTGAGCTCAAGTGATCCAGCCGCCTTGATTTCCCAAAGTATTGGGATTACAGGCATGTATGCCCTGCCAGTTCAATGTAGTTTTAATACTCCCTTGGTCATTCCTGTTTACTTGCCTATTCCGCACTCAACAGGGCAGTGAAAACATCTTATTAGTTATTGTATACTCAGCACCTGGCATATTATAAAACTAAAAAAAAAAAATTGTTGAATGAATGAATGAGTAAATGAATGTACAAACCATGCTAGGGTTAAAGAATGCAAAGATGAATAAGCCACTGTCTAATGTTGCCTTGCTGAATCCTCTTGCCAAAAGTATTCTGAAGAATATGCACCTGGTGTAGGACAGACCAGCATCAACTTGTGCTAGTTTAAAGAAGCTGAAGTTGAAGAGACTGGAAGGAGGAAGTGGAGGGGCATCAGAAAGTGAAATGGCAGGCTATGTAAACAGAATGGCTCAAGGGCAACCCCAAGAAGGCCCAGGCTGGAATAGATGAGGAAGCATTTAGGACAGAGGAGAGAGTTAGGACTCAGGGTCATTAGCAATGGAAAAAAGTGCAAATTCAAAAATGCATCATTGGCTAGGCATGGTGGCTCATGCCTGTAATCCCATGGCTTTGGGAGGCCAAAGTGTGTGGATCACTTGAGCTCAGGAGTTTGAGTCCAGCTTGGGCAACATGGAAAAACCCCGTCTCCACCAAAAACACAAAAAATTAGCTGAGCAGGATGGCTCATGCCTCCCAGCTACTCAGGAGGCTTAAGTGGGAGGATTGCTTAAGCCCAGGAAGTGGACGTTGTAGTGAGCCAAGATCGTACCACTGCATTCCAGCCTGGGTAACAGAGTGAGAATCTGTCTCAAAAAAATAAAATAAAATAAAATATGGGAACCATTTTAAAGTCTTAAGAAAGTAAAACCAACACAAGCATTTTAATTGTTCAACTAAAAACATGAGTGTGGGATACACTATTTCAAACCACCTTCAATAACAGCAAAATTGATAAAGCATACTTTTCTGACAGGCAGATAAACAAAGTTTGATCCCCCATTCACAGAAGTTGGGCCTCTTTCCATGCTGAAGAAGACTTACAACTTGTCCTAATATGTTCTGATTTTAGAGGCAATAAATACCATCCTACACTCCTCTCTAAAAGTACTTCTTTCTCTTACCTACTTGCTTATTCATTCATTCCTTCAATTTAACAAATATTTGTTCAGGCTGTTATAAGACAGTCACTGTTTTAGATGCTGGGACTACATAGGGTAAACAACCATCCTGGTTTGCCCCAGGACTAACCCAGGTTTAGCACTGAAAGTCCTGTGTTCTGGGAACCCCTTCTGTCCTGGGCCAGTGTTGGTCATCCTAGAGCCTACATCAGTGAGGTGGGATTGAAATTTTAGCTAGGGAGGCCCCAGAAAGCCTTTACTAGAAAGGCTACTTTCAAGAAAAGACCTGGAGCAGATAAGGACAATAGCTGCATGGACATCCTGGGGAAGAGCTGTCCAGAAAGTGTAAGCCTGAGGCAAGAGCTTCCCTGCCATGTTGGGGGAATAGCCAAGAATCCACATTGGTGGGGACACAGTGAGAGAGGGGAAAGCAATGGGAGATGAGATCTGAGACATATCAGGAGTCAATTATTTGAGGACTTGTGACTTAGCAAGGATTTTTGGCTTTTATTCTGAACAACATGAGAGGACATTGGAAGGTTTTCAACAGGGAAAGAACGGGCTCACTTTGGCTGTTAAGAAGAAGCCACAAAGGGTTAAGAGCAGAGACAAGGAAGCTAAGCATTGAAATAATCCCTTTGAAAGTCCTAGTCCAGGCTGGGCATGGAGGCTCAAGCCTGTAATCTTTGCACTGTGGGAGGCCGAGGTGGGTGGATCACAAGGTCAGGAGTTCAAGACCAGCCTGGCCAACAAAATGAAACCCCCCATCTCTACTAAAAATAGCAAAGTTAGTCGGGTGTGGTGGCATGCACCTGTAGTCCCAGCTATTGGGGAGACTGAGGCAGAAGAATCACCTGAACCCGGGAGGTGGAGGTTGCAGTGAGCTGAGACCACGCCATTGCACTCCAGCCTGGGTGACAGAGTGAGACTCTATCTCAAAGAAAAATGACGGATGGACGGACAGAAGGAAGGAAGAAAGGAAGGAAGGAAGGAAGGAAGGGAGGGAGGGAGGGAGGGAGGGAGGGAGGGAGGAAGGGAGGAAGGAATGAAGGAAGGAAGGAAGGAAGGAAGGGAGGCTGGTTCTAGTCCCAGGAAATTGAGGAAATGGTTATGTTCTGTTTTGTGGGCTCAATTTTATCTTTTCTGAGAAAACAGGGTAGGAGTCTTTATTCCTTCCTGCTTCAAATGCAACTGTTGACTTTCCATTTTACAATAAGAGGGGAGCAGTTTCAAACATGAAGAATAGAAATGGTGTCAACTACACTGAAACTCTCACTGTAACATGAATGTACGGCCATCCAGGGGTGTTAGGAATGTGCACTCTGGGGCCAGACTGCCTGAGTTCGGATCTCAGCCTGGCTAACTCTAGCTAGGTGCCTGAACGGGTGACTTGGCTTGGGGAAGCTCCTTGCCATCCTCATCTGTAGGAATGATAGCTGCACCTACACCTAGGAAGGATGCAGTGAGTAAACCCATGTGCCTGGAGTAGGGTGAGTGCTCGTTAATGTTTAGTATTATTACAGCCATTAAATCACCCAAGGTTAGATGCTCAGCTTTACAATAGAACGTGGCCTTTCAGAGACAGGGCTTATGTCTTATCATCATACTTCAACTAGAAATACCCCTATGAGGTTATTACATTAGAATGTAATCATATGTATGAGATATATATCATATTTAGTACATATTTGAGTTCATAAGCGAGACTACAAGTTAGAGATCATTGAAGTGAAAAAATAAATGAGGGAGGGGAATCCATTTAAGTTTTCTAGAAATTTTAATAGTCATGAGGATTTGATTTAAAAGAGTATTTACATTTAACTCTTAGACTTGCTAAATTTATGTTTCTAAATTTTCTTTCAAATAAAATACTAAAATAGATACATAGCATTTTAGAGCCCAAGGAGAATATATTTTCTTGTTGATGGGAATTGAGGGGAAGGTTGTGGTCTGTTTTGTGGGCTCAGTTTTATCTTTTCTTTAAAAAAAATGGGGGTAGGAGTCTTTATTATTTCCTGCTTCAATTGCAACTGTTGACTTTCCATTTCACAATGAGAAGGCAGCAGTTTCAAGTATGAAGAATATGAATAGTGTTAACTAAATAGAAATTCTCACAGTAACATGAATGTACAGCCATAGAGGGGTGTTCAGGATGTGGGCCATACTGCCTGAGTTCGGATCTCAGCCCTGCTGCTTCTAGCTAGGTGCCTTGAACAAGTAACTTGTCTTGGGGAAGCTCCCTGCTTTCCTCATTATTCCTGTCTTGTTGATGTGTGGAAACAGAGGTTCAGGAAAGTTCAATGATTTACTCAAGGTCATGGTTGAAAAAGAAATCATGTTGAAAGACAAAATAGTTTCACTGTTTTTCAAGAATCCTTTTGCAGGACTCCCCAGAACACATCCCAAAGCAGGATGCTTTGGCCTCAAGGATCCAAGATTTTGCTTCCTCCACCATCCAGCTAGAAAGGCTGCTTGGGCTTGCTGTGTTCTGGAGACATTGATTTCTGCCTCCAGGTGTGCTGTATCCTAGAGTGTCAAACATGAAGAATGAGACAAACATGATGAATGAGAGAAATAAAACCAATTTCCACTGGTGCCATAATGTAGAAATACTGCTCCTTTCTCCCTTCTAAATCAAATGTGTGGGCCCCGCTTTCCCTACAAATCCTCTCCCCTTGTTGTGCCATTGTGGCATTCATTTGACAAATACTTACTGGGGGCCGACTTTGTGTCAAGCACTACACTAGGCAGCAGCCTGCCGTGATAAGCATTGGTGCTATAGGATTCATTTGAGGCATGGAAGCTTGACATCCTCACTGAAAGGCCTGGAGTCATCTAGGAAAAGAGAGTCTCTTCTTTAAAATGCAGTAGAAAAACCCATCTGCTGTCACTGTAAAGCAGTGAGAAGTTTTTAAAGTAAACAAATAGCCTTTGGCTCTACAAAAAACATAGAATTTAGCTGGGCATGGTGGTACACTACCATAGTACAGACCTAGCTACTTAGGGAGCAGGGGCTGAGGTGGGAGAATCACTTGGGCCCAGGAGTTTGAGGTTGCAGCAAGCCACGATTGCACCACTGCACTCCAGTCTGGGTGGCAGAACGAGACGCTATCTCAAAAATAAATAAATAAATATATATATAAATAGCCTTTGGAAACCATGTTCTGATTCTTAAAACATTTAATTTAATTATTTATTTTGAGATGGAGTTTTGCTCCTGTTGCCCAGGCTGCAGTGCAATGGTGCCATCTCAGCTCCAGCAACCCCCACCTCCCAGGTTTCAGTGAGTCTCCTGCCTCAGCCTCCCAAGTAGCTGGGATTACAGGCGCCCACCACCACCATTGGCTAATTTTTGTATTTTTAGTAGAGATGGAGTTTCACTATATTGGCCAGGCTGGTCTCAAACTCCTGATCTCAGGCAATCCAGCCACCTTGGCCTCTCATAGTGCTGGGATTACAGGTGTGAGCCATCATGCCTGGCCTGATTCTTAAAACATTTTAAAGAGCAGAACAGAACATTTTAAGGAGGATATAATGGAGAAAATAAATTTAATTAATTAAGGTAACTGAAGGACCCAGTTGAGTCCAGTCTCTATTTGCATCACCACACTGGTGGGTGAGGAGATGAAGAGGCAATAGCAGCAAGGGCCCGGGTCATCCAAAGGACCAAAGGACCGGCTTAAATGCTAGTTGGTACTTTACCTATACAATAGCAATTGCCATAGGGCAAACTCCTTTTATGTTTGTTGATGTGACTAAATGTTAAGGAGGTAGGTCAGATAGCAAAAAAGATTAGATAAAGAATAGGGAGACCCTTGTTCAAGCTCCAGTGACTCCAATAAAAATACTTATGATCTTGACAAGTCGCACTCTAAGCCCCAATGTCTAAAGAACAAACAAAAAAAGTCAGAAGAATGGGAGAAAATATTTGCCAATCATATATATGATTGAGGATTAATATTCAGAATATATAAAGAGCACCTACAACTCAACAACCAAAAACCAACAACCAGATTCAAAAATGGGCAAAGGACTTGAATAAATATTTCTGCAAAGAAGATAAACGACCAAAAAGTATATGAAAAGATGCTCAACATCGCTAATAATTAGGGTAATGCAAATCAAAACCACAATGAGCTGTTCACTCACACCTGTTGGGATAAATGCTATTTTTTAAAAATCAGAAAATAACAAGTGTTGGAAAAGATATGGAAAAATTGGAAACTTCGTGTGCCATTGGTGGGAATATAAAATGGTACAGCTTCCTTGAAAAACAGTAAGAAGATTCCATATAAAATTAAGAATAGCATTATCATATGACCCTGCAATTCCACTTCTGGGTGTATATACAAAGGAATTGAAAGCAAGGAATCAGGCAGATATCTACACCCCAATGTTCATTGCAGCATCATTCACAATAGATAAAAAATGAAAAAAACCCCAAGTGTTCATCAGCAGATGGACAAAGCGTGATATATACATACAATGAGATATTATTCAGTCTTAAAAAGGAAGGAAATTCTGACATATGCTTTGACATGGATGAACCATGAAGGCATTATGCTAAGTGAAATAAGTCAGTCATAAAAGAACAAACACTATATGATTTCACTTGTATGGAGTATCCAGATGTCTTAGTCCATTTTTGTGCTGCTGCAACAAAATACCTGAGACTGGTAATATATAAAGAACAGAGATTTATTTCTCTTTGTTCTGGAGGCTGGATCCACGCTTAATGACAGAAATATGTTTTGATTAAAAAAAGTCCTTAGACAATTTTGTCTTTGTGCAAAACTCATAGCATGTACCTACAGAAACCTAGATAGTACAGCCTATCACACACCTGGCTATATAATGTATCCTGTTGCTCCTGGACTACAAAACTGTACAGCATATTACTGTATGGAATACCACAGGCAACTGTAACACTATGGTAAGTATTTGTGTATCTAAACATAGAAAAGATACGTTAAAAATATCATTTAAAAGATAAAAAATGGTGCACCTATGTAGGGCACTCACCATGAATGGAGCATGCAGGGCTGGAAGTTGCTCTGGATGACTCAGTGGGTGAGTGGTGCATGAATGTGAAGGCCTAGGACACTACTGTACACTCCTATAGATTTCATAAACACTGTATGCTTAGGCTAAATTTATTTAAAAATTGTTTTTCTTTGTAGCTTTTTAAACTATAAACTTTAAAAAACTTTTTTCTCATTTGTAATGACACAGCTTAAAACACAAACACGGGGAGAGGACTCAAGATGGCGCTGTGAGAACAACCCAGGATTGGAGCTCTCGTTGAATCTGCAAAGAGGTGAGTCGGAGTTGCATTTCCAGACTGATCTTTGTTGCCCACAGAACGGGGAAACTCCTAAGTGTAAGGGAGACACAGGACGCCAGGCAGTAAGTCTGCCAGGCAAAGCCGGCAGCCGGGGCGGTGGCAGCCGGCCCTACCCAGCAATCCCCACAGGGCACGCTTGTCCGGGTGCCCTGTTGAACCGGCAACCTGAGACTTGAGAGGGCTGGACTTGAGACTGAACGAGACTTGGACATTAGGCCAGCCCAGGGGATTGCAGGGACAGAGCGTTCGGGGTACCCAGTGGGACGAACAAAACCGCGATTTCAAACTATCCCGAGCAGACGGTCCGAGACGCTCTGTGGGGGATGGGCGTCCACCACTACTGACGTAACCCGCCCCAACTGAGATACACGCCCACTGCTGACGCAGCCTGCTGTTGCCGAGGCAACCCGTCCCTACTGAGATACACGCCCACTGCTGACGCAGCCTGCTGTTGCCGAGGCAACATGCTACAACGAAGAGACTCCGCCGCAGGGCGTGGCGGAGACCATAGCAGAGCCTGCAGGAACACGGCGAATCACACAACAGCAGGGCGGAGACTCGGCAGGCAAACAGTGGCTAGTCTGCCTCCTAGCTGG